ATGTCGCTGGCTACAGACGCGGACCACTGCCTTAGGTACCAGTCTGAGCGATAATCGCGCCGCGGCTGATGCACAGTAAAAACATGCACAGAACCTCAAAACAGTCCAGTTCACTCAGTAGGCACATTAATAATACGGGTTAAAAAAGCCAAAATTTACTTTTTTGTTCACATTACTTTTTCCATTCATGTGCTGTTTTTAAAGGTTGTACTGTTTTGGTTATTTTTCCTTACACATTAATTTCATTTTCTATATTTAATTGTAGAAGAAACAGGTGACTCTTTATTACCAGCAAACTTTGAATTTTCATTGTTCAAATGGTTGTGTTTACATTTTTTTTAGGTAATCCTCGTCTATTCGAATTTAAATATAAAATGCTTGACTGTTCCAAGTTGACTATGTATTATTTAGTTGTGGGTTTTAATACTGTATCAGTTTTTTTGTATGAATAAACATTTTTTATTTAGACTCCAAAAGTTTTATTTTCCGACATTCATGTACTCTTATTGATATCACTAATTTGTTTTTATTGATATAAATATATTTTTTTCATTGATATCACTACAGTTTTCTATTTATATCCTACCTAGGGACATCTAGTGATACGTATCCGTCCCAAATCCTACGTATCACTATGAATTTTCTATCGATCGTCTATTGATACTTCCGCTAGGGTCAAGTAGAGCCTCGTCTTCTAACTCCTCCCTGAGGAGATACCTACTTTAAAAAGTTATAACACGCACTCATGACCTCACCATTGCGGGTGCTGGTATTCAAATAACTAAGAAAAATCGTGCGACGACCGAAAATCAATCGCTCTAAGCAAAACAGCCGCCGTAACAGCGATAGTGACTGAGCGATAATCGCTGTGCGACTATCGCTACAGTCGCTCCAAGCAAAATAGGCCTTTAGTTAAGTGGACTATATCAAAGTAAGTTATCGTAATGTCAATTTAAGTTTAATGGAGAAGAAATGTTGTAGCCTATATCAGAAACTCATCGCCTGAAAGCTGACCAGACTCTTACTGCGATTAAACATAGGTTACTGCATTTTATTTGACAGTGTCACTAACAAAGTAGGCTTAAATATCGAGTACTTAGGCTACTAAAGTAACTTAGCTATAAGTCCCTAGGCTTAAGTTATAAGTTAACTACACATTAAAATATCATGGTATAAAATATGGCATTAAGTTAAGTCTAAAGCCGGGTTTTCCTAAGTTAGACGTGGAAGAGGAGCGCGGAGAGCGGAAAATCGATTAACATGGCATTCCGTTCCGCTTCTAGGAAAACAGTAATATTAAGCTATTTAAGACAAGAGGAGTTCACTCCCCACGCTACTCTCTCCCCGCCTAGAAAAACCCAGCTTTATAGAATAGTCTACAACGTAACTAAGGCCCATTAACTTATGGCTAATCTAGGCTATAGCTTACCATAGTCCATTTACCATAGTACTATAAACAGTGAAGACAATGCCTAAGATAGACCAAACCACAATACCTATCTTACATGGAGAACTTGATGTCCAAGCTGGTTAAACAAATTGTTTTTAGGCATACAAACAACTCAAACAAACTAAGTTAAGTTAGGACGATAAGTTGACAACAAATTATCGGTCATATTTAAATACTCTTCGCCTCTAACCTTTTTATTTTTTAGGCTCGGCTACTTTATTTCATTTTAGTCAGCACGTAGGCTGACCAACTCAAAAGTGGCTTGCTTAGGCTATACTTAGTTCTTTCAAAATTTTCACTGATTTTGAGTTTACCTAATTTCTTCCTAGGCTATTCTCAATTAAGACGATTTGTTTTGTTAGTCACAATCCTTGAGTTTACTTAACTTAGTTTGTGCTAATAAGATAAGAACTTACCTTGATGGATAAAAAGAAATAGGCCTAGATGAAACTTAATACAAAATCAGCTCCAACAATATATAATAACTTGAACAACTCAGCACCACAATATCGATATTCCCAATGAGAGAGATTGAGAATGAATCACTCACAAATACACAAAGAAAGACAAAGCAATAAAGCAATATGGCCGATGGCGTCTTCCTTTCCTTCAAGTGTCGGTCCCACTCCCACCGTTAGCGTCGTTCCCGCTCGGAATTGTGGGTAACTTACACTCGACTCCAATTCGAATCCAACGTGATACTTAAAAGCTGTCATTTCAAGGCAACGTAAGCTTAATGGAAGTGCATTGTGGGTAATATTAATATTACACTCGAATCGGGTTCGAATCTAATGTGATATTTCAAAGCTGTTAATACAAGCAAGTGCAAGCGTAATGGTAGTGCATTGTGTATACTTGAATCCAGTTTGAATCTAATGTGACATTTCAAAGCTGTTAATTCAATCCACTGTAAGCGTAATTCAAGTGTGTTACACGAAGTTGACACTTGACTCGAGTTTGAATCTAAAGTGACAATTCAAAGCTGTCATTTCAAGTAAAAGCAAGCGTAATTCAAGGCTTGAATCAAGCTTACGTGCTATCTGGGATGTCAACCCTAAGATGTTATCCCAAGGTTAACCAGAGAGGTTAACTGTAATAAAGGACCGAGGTCCTAAGTTCCCTTCAATATAGAAGGATTTTTATTTAATTTCATTTCACCCTATATGAAGGACATTTCTAGGTCATAACTTGTTAAGGACTTATCAAGGTTGGTTCAATTTTGATTTTTGAACTATCAGAAAGCTGCAGACTTCCTATTTGGATCCAACCCACAATTTTCTTATTATCTGGCAGGGAAATAAATTTCGATGTAGACGAGGTTGGCATCCCTGTTCTACAATCACAGCTGATGAGTGTAGTGGAAGGGGAAAGGGCAGCATGGAAAAGTGATTACGAGGGTCGAGCGCGCACGTCTCTGTATCACCAACAACTCTTTATCTATTAACTTCGACCTAAAAGATAAGACATACCTTGCTTTCAGATATGACATAACTGTAATGTCCTGGGCGATCAAGGCAAGAGCTGAGCTTATCAACTTTAACCTCAAACCGTGGCTTGTAGACAATTATCATTTGTGCACTCTTAGTAATTTACAAGAGAAAGAAGATGCTTTTCATTTTATATCTGTTTGTCCCGTTTTAAATTCAATAAGGAAATTTAATTTTATTTTGGCTGTCCAATTTTGACACAGGAACAATATATAAAGATTTTGAATGGGTGGGATTGGCGGGCCTTAAGTAATTATTTAAAAGATGCTTGGTCTAAAAGATGGAGGTTAATACAAGAATTTAATCTGTGAGAATCATTTTCCCAAATGTCATTACTTTTAAAATCTTTTTTATTATTATTTATTAGTTTCATTAAGGCATCAAAATTGCATTAGTTCTAAGATAGAAATGTATTATTTATATCCCAAGAATCGTTGAAAGCTATATAGAGTATATTAATTTGATCAAATATTGCTAAATATTGCTTGAATGTAGGCTATTGTTATGATTCTAAAAAAGTAAAGTTTACTTATATTTTCATTATTTTTCTTTTTTAATTTATGCAAATATACATATATGTATAAATCCGTTTTAGAAATATGTCTATTGTCAAAAAATGAATTGTTTTATTATTTGATTTTTAATCTGATTTATGAGAACTGTTACGTATGAGTGTATTTATTTAAAAATTGAATATTAAAAGTGATTATTCATAGGTAAATTACGAAGGACCACCGCAAATTACATTGCGGAAAATAATAAGAAACTTGAAAACATGTACCTTTACAAACTCCAGTGCAGACGTAGGGGGAAGTGGGAAAGATGGCGTATTTGAACTTCAGATTAGTGTCGGCGCTGTGACGAACCCTTGGTAGTTGGATGTTGGATGAGACGATTTTCGCTCTTCTTTCTGCTTGAAGGCTTGATGTTCGCACGTAACGCTAAGTCTTTTATTGTTCGTGGCCACTTTAATTACACGGAAGTCGCGACACCGCACAGGACACTTTGATTACTTGATGGTGCATGATTCGTGAGTTAATAAAACGCAAATAAAAATACTACTTGTCACTAAAACAACAAAAATAACTTCAGAATAAGATTGGGCAATATTAATTGCAATAAAAATGAAAACTGAAACAACTTGATGAAATAATGTAAATGGAAATGAGATTAAAAGAGGTGGCCGGTACTAGACCATATTAATAGGGCCGTGGACAGAGAGAGAATGACCAGGATACCTGTCTGAGGCGAACGACAAGCGATAAGGACAATGACATGAATAGAGCGATAAGATTGTTGTCTGAAGATAAAATGGACTTGGGTTCTGTGGCTTTGGTGTTTGGCATTACCATTTGTTTTTAATATAAAATAAATATTCTTCTTTTGAATTAATATAAAGTTAATAGTTCCTTTTTCCTTCTAAATACTAAACAAGAACAGTTTACGTTAGTCAATTGTACACATGCTAACCAGGTACGCCAGCCGCAACAGACAGGCTTTTTGTCCATTGTTGTATTTAGTGCTAAGAAGTTTTTGTTGTACACTTATTTGTAAATAAAAGCACTTTTTCATTCATTCATTCATTCTTATTATCTGGCACACACGAGCCACCCAGCAAAATTTTTGTTGGATTATGTGAGTTTGATCTAAATATTACACTTTTAATAAAATTACGTTATTTGGTGAGTAGGTAGTTATAATTACGTTTCCACATTGGTTCCTCTTAAGTATTTTCCTCTTTTTGAACATTGACCAAAATTATTTGACCCGATAATCTTGGATAGTTTAAGTCTATTGTAGTGGTCTAGTTAGTTTAACCACTTGATTAGGAATGAATAGTGTTCTTTCCCAATGGTTTGACTCCGTTGTAATCTCTAAAACTTCATAAAAAGAAGGCTTATTATTACTTTTACTTGTTGGTTCCATTCTACTATCGATTGGTATTAATTTTAAATAAAATCTCAATAAAATTTATGTTCACAGTTTCTTTTTTCCTAATCATAAACCATTTATTAAACCCAATTGATTAAAAATTTACTCAAGACTGTGTTTAATTTTTTCAGGATCTCATCAAGGATCTGAAGAGTGAGTTGAGTGGAAACTTTGAGAACTTGATTGTTGCGCTGATGACTCCCATCCCTGAGTTCCAAGCCCAGGAGATCCATCATGCCATCAGCGGCATCGGAACCAACGAGAGCACATTGGTGGAACTCATGTGTTCTGCCACAAACAACGAGATACACACGATGCGCCAGGCTTACCAGAAGTGTGAGTACACCACATTGTCCCACTTACAATTCTGTAGCATTCTTTGTTTACCGTTCCTTGTTGGTGATTGTAAAAAAGATGTCAAGGTTATAAATTTATCACAGTCTGGATTATGTGTTCAAATTTTATTTTGTATTTATTTTACTTACAACTTTTTTAAAATTTACAACAAAGTATTAATGTGATTATTTTATTCTAAATACTAGTGTGATACTCTGTTCAGTAGACCCCCTCTTAACCGACCTCACATCAACTAAAATGTTATAGTTCCTTTTAACCAACTTTGCTTTGAAAGCAGTTCGGTTTAACCGCCACTTTCTAGGAATCTTGGCATTTCCGCTCCCACCCTTGGCAAAAACAGCTGCTATTTTTGTTATATAATCTAGAATTATCTTATAGCTAGAGTAAACAAACAACTCAACTTGTAGGGATGGCAGGGGAGGGGGGTTAACTACTCCAAGGTTAAGATAGTTTTTGTGACTTGAGCCTCCAGCGAGAGGTTATAAATAAACATCCTGTCTCGTAACAAAATGGATGCTTGTATCATTAATTTTGACAAAAAGCTCTGTACTGTATTAGGATAGATTTGGAATTTTTCAATTAATATTACAGTGCTAAACTTATAGCCCAGGCAAATTAGACATATGCTCCCCAAAAAATCGTCTAAAGCTGGAAAGTGTTTTAATACCTTTTGGGGGTCCCAAATAAGACTCCTGTGAGTTTGCGACGTATTCTGACGTCTGCTTAAGTTTTGGGAGTCGAAAAACTATGAAAATTTTGCACTTTTTTTAGTTTTTCGCTTATAACTCCTAAATAACGAATCCTAAGGAAAATGTTGTCCAAAGGGGTCTTTTAGTGCATTAAATTCCGCGTCGATTGATGTTAAATACGTCAAAATCGGCTGAGCTGTTTAGCCGCTGTAGCTTTTCAAAGTTGGGATATTTTCATCAACATCGCCAAAAGGTTGATTATTTGACCAGTTTTCGGCTTACAACTCCTAAACGACGCATGCTATACAAAAATGCACCTGTAGTTAGTTTGGAAAACACAAAATTCGGCGTAGAATTATGATTTTGAATTACTAGATAGTGGTTTATTCCATTGTTATCATCTAAAGGTTTATCCAAGAATGTGTGAAGGAAAGGGTAGCAAGACACCCTATGTAATTTTAAATCTAATATTGTTATCTGGGGTTACAGAAATTCTAGGATTCGTCCTAAGCTCCCATTTATACGATCCCATCTCTGGACACTCCAAAATGGTGTTTAGCAATTCTAATATATAATAAGATATTACAACGAGAAAGATTTTATTAAATATAGCTGAAATGTTATTTTTTAGCTTAATAAACGAAAGATGATGGTGGGACAGATGTACATAGTTTTACTATGTATTTAGCCTTAAAAAAAAAAAAACAATTGGGAGTTTTCGTAGATTTTACCATATAACTTTTCTACTTCTCATTATTGGAATCTTAAGAATAAGAATTCATTCTTTGCTCTTATTGGTCTTGCCACAAATGATGACATTCGGTACCATCTTTTTCGTCAGATATCGAATTGAGATAATCGTGCCCCTTGCAAGTCTTTCAGACAGTAGTGCATTATATCCCTGCATTTCAAAAGGAGCAAGATAATGTAAACCTTATTTAACATGTACACGATAGTCGAGATAGGTAGACGGAGTTGAGAAGTTCTTGTCGAAACCCATTGTTAACCCATTTTGGCGTTAATTTTCCATCTGAATTAAGTACACTTTTACATGAGCTTTAAAGGATTGGTGGATGCCCCTTTTGTTAGAATCAAAGTCAAAATTAGTTGAAAGTGTCTTCTAGAAGAGACCAACCCTCACTTGATTTGGATATTTTCTGCTCCCAACCATATATAGGGCCAACCTGCTTCTGCAACTTCGCCAAGCGTTGTAACGGTTGTAACCAGTCGGAACACAGTGAGATCCACATTGATTTGAGTAAACAGCATGAGTAGTTTTAGGCTACATGAATAGTTAGATTTTCGACTCTTCTACATCACGCTTTCTTCATCAAACTGCGCTAGTGGGTACCGTACCTATTTCTAATCCAAAGTATGATTCAAATTGAGGCTTGGATTTAATGTGGAATATCACGTGCTGACTGAGGGGGGCAGATTCTTCTTTAATCTTTGCTGTTTGCGATCACAGCTCGCAATTAAGGTCACCACTTCCTTTTATTCTGCAGAGTTTATGGTCATTCTAGGCTTGCCTATTTACGATTTTCTTGCAAGCTGTGCCTTTTCATTATGCTTTATACATATCTCATGTTGATGCTATCAGATGGGATAACTGCTGAGCTGATTGACATGAGCGAACTATTTTCAGTAAATGGGTCGTGACACTGGAACCATTTGATGAATTTCTTTTTGATCCCACCGTGTATCCGTGGAGTTTATATTGTCAACTTGCTGATAATATGTTGAAGAGGTGATCCCACAATATCCCTTAATTTGATGGGTAGCATTCACTGCGATGGGCCTGCCATCGAACCATCGGGCTAGATCCCCATCATTGATTCCCCCCTATCTCTGAAAAGCTCTCCACAGTAAGATGTTGCTCTCATGAGCACTTACTTGTTCATAGGCCATGCTGCAGGATCCATGATGTCACACTAGTGGATAGATTCACTGACATATCCCCTATTAGCGAATTTCCCTATAGGGAAGTAGCTATTACCGTAGGTGGCACGGTAAGACCTAGACCCGGGACCGATTTACTTTTTCATTTTGATGTCCCCAGAGGCCAAAAACACCATTCGTTCAAATTTTTATATATGTATATATATATATATATATATATATACGTCCGTGAACGCGATAACTTGAGTAATTTTTGTCCGATTTTGATGAAATTTAGTTTAAAGGTGTAAAGCGGGATAAACTTGAATGAGTTCGCGAACCAGCACGATCGGACCATGGGAACGGGGTTTTATGGGGTAAAAATTGGTTTTTCTCACTTTTGACCCTCAAAACACAAAATTTCCCGATTTCTCTTTAGACCTTTTTAAAGAGCTTAAAAAAAAAAATAATTTAGTATGTAAAAGTATTTTTGTTCGATTGTTAGTAACGGAGAAAATTAGAAAAATTGTAAATTTAAAATTCCCATGTTATTCTTATGGAGAATATTGTCAAATGTTGTAGTTTGCTTTTTTATGGATATATTTTGATCAAACTTGGCAAATTTATTTATTTCGTACTAAGCTATCAATATTTTACTCAAAAACACACTTTATTAGTTTCCTTGTAGCAGCAAACCTAGGTACTCGTTAAACCTAATGTTATTAAAATATATTTAACTGAAAATCAATTCAGACAAATGGAAATTCGCTTAGTCGGCAGGTTTGCTGCGGCGGGGGTATTTTTTTGGTAATTAGGCTGGTTGTTTGCCAGATTTCAATGGTAAGATTTTAAACTTCGGAAACTTGACAAGCATCTGATCTAGTGTTAACAATCAATAGCGGTTAAATGGTGAAGCCGATCTTAATGAATTGGGAAACATTCTACGCAGACGTTTATGCCCTTCAAACTAACTACAGGAACTTTTTTTCTATAGCATGCGTTAGAAGATGTAAGCCAAAAACTGAAAGATGAATACAGGGATAGGTCGAATATAATGGGTGGTTGGGATGAATCCTAGAATTTTCGGAACCTCAGACAACAATATTAAACATAAAATTACATAGGGGGTCTTACTCTCATCACACCTTATCAGATAAACCTCTGGATGACCATCATGGAATAAACCACTATTTAATAATTCATAATCCATTTAAGGACAGGTTCTATGTTGTTACCAATTTTAGTAAAATTTCCCATCTTTAACTTTAATACTTTTTTCAATGAAATGGCGACCATACAAAGTAGGTAACAATCAATTGCCGTTATTGATTAATAAAAAAAACATTATTCGCAGAATTTTGTGTTTTCCAAACTAACTACAGGTGCATTTTTGTATAGCATGCGTCGTTTAGGAGTTGTAAGCCGAAAACTGGTCAAATAATCAACCTTTTGGCCATGTTGATGAAAATATCCCAACTTTGAAAAGCTACAGCGGCTAAACAGCTCAGCCGATTTTGACGTATTTAACATCAATCGACGCGGAATTTAATGCACTAAAAGACACCTTTGGACAACATTTTCCTTAGGATTCGTTATTTAGGAGTTAAGTGAAAAACTGAAAAAAGTTCAAAATTTTCATAGTTTTTCGACTCCCAAAACTTAAGCAGACGTCAGAATCCGTCGCAAACTCACAGGAGTCTTATTTGGGACCCCCAAAAGGTATTAAAACACTTTCCAGCTTTAGACGATTTTTTGGGGAGCACACCCTATATTTGATCTAATTTGCCTGGACTATTATTAAAATAAGAATTTTTTATTGACTCTTGCCTACAACAAAAAAATTTTCTATCAACATTATAAGAAACCACCTTTATAAAAATAATCATAATTAGGTTTAAACAAACTTGTAAAAATTTTATTTCATATTATTCTTTGTTCTTCAGCAGACTATAATGTGTAGTAGGATGTCAATGTTTAAAATAAATTTGAATTGGTATATTATTCCACTGAAAGTATTTGGCTTATCCGTGTTTTGAGTTTATTTGTGACTTTTCTATCAATGTCAAAAAATACATTTCTAGACAAGATTTTGAGTCGTACATAATTATACATAATTTTTAATAGGCCTAATTGTTGACTACTTTTGACAGATGTATATCTATTAGATGACACAAAGTTTGATGTGTAGTTTTATTATTCTCAGGTTGTGTGGTTTTTTTATCTGTTCAATGTTTTATTTTAACTATCACCACAGCGAATGATTGAGCTCACACACCTACTTCACAAATCTAAGTGATAAGATATCTCACCACACAGCCACACCCTTGTTCCGGATATTACCAGTTTGAGGTTTAGAGATAAAAACCTCTTCCTGGCTTTGATATTACAATTAATAATTATGAAATGCTTTTAGTCAAATGATGATTTGAATAAATTAAAACTATAATGCTCATTTTATATTTTTTTATAATTTTTTCAGAAATTTTATTTTTGATTCCTAATATTTTCAATTACTTTCTTGGACTAGGGCTGTTATACCTTCTCGAGAAAAATTAAGTCTGTCTCATTTAAATTAAGTGGTAATTTGTTTGTGTATTACTATCCTGTCCTATCCATGCCTGTTTGTATTATTTTAAGAAATCAATTTCACTAAGACTTGGCAAAAATATTACATTTGTGTAAAAGTTTGATACTAGGTAATTTAACTCATCCTAATCTTTTTACTAGCTTCCTTTTCTAAAAACAAACAATGTTGGCCTAATAAAAATACAAAATATAAATAATACTTTGTGTACACAAAAGTCAAGTTAACAATTTATAAAAATCAGGCACTGAACTTATTATACTATTTAAACTCAAGACACTATCCGCATGGGCCCCAAGCAAATAAGCATTTCACCCAATTGCATTAATGTGCCATTTTGTGCACTAGTTACACAAATAACTATTGTATTCAATATCAATTTTTAGTACCTGTTCTTGGTTTAAGTATCTCTTAATCTGGTCACTTGTGTTGCAGTGTTTGGCAGCAACTTAGAACAAGACTTGTCTAGTGACACTTCTGGATCCTTCAGACGACTCATGGTCTCTCTATGTCAGGTGAGAACGTGTCACAATTAGGGATGGACGAGATTGGATTTTTAGTTCGAGACGAGACGAGACGAGATTTTTTATTTCTCATAAAATTTCGAGACGAGATCGAGACGGGATTTCCCTTCTCATACACAACGAGAAATGCACGTTCAAAATTTTTACCTGATTTTGTAACTGTTTAAATACAAAAATAATGATAATACACAAGAATATTTACAATCTTTTATTAAAAAACATCAGCATAACATTTTTTTTATTAATCACGCCTAACTTATAAAAATGCCTACGATTAGGAAACATAGTGATATCAGTTAGGATAGAGTTCAACTTATCCTAAAATAAAATAAATCATAAAATGAAAGCAATATTATTTTTTATAAAATAGTTACTTGTTTTGACTTTTTATAGTAATAAAACATTCCTCACACTGCTTACACTTAACAAATCTTCTCAAATGTTATTAAAGTAATATTTTTAAAATAATTTAAGTAATATTTACATTTTAAGAATTAATTAAATAAGAACGCCTTCGCAAAGGAAACGCAACTACAACACGCTCCTGTATTGCGGGTATTGCATTGACTTTCTGCAGGAGTTTTTAATTTTTTTTTTTTTTTTTTTTTATTCTCGTCTCGATAAAAATCTCGGCCAAAAAGAAATCTCGTCTCGTGTAACGAGATATAAAATTTCCCGAAATTTCGAGACTTGACCATCCCTAGTCACAATATACATCTAGTATACATGTAGATTATTGGTAGCAACCTAGAACAAGACTTGTCTAGTGACACTTCTGGATCCTTCAGACGACTCATGGTCTCTCTGTGTCAGGTGAGAACGTGTCACAATATACATCTAGTACTCGCCTTTGGCTCGCTGGGGGCTCCGCCCCCAGGCCCCCTAGCTGTTAGTCGTCATTAGTATATAGTAGTTTAGTTGTAACAAAGAGGGTAAGAAAGCAGTCAGTGAAACAGTCAGTATAACAAAACAATTTACGAATATATTTGAGGAGGCTGGCAAGTTAATATCAATCTCAAACTTAAAGAGCCCCTTATGAAAAAATTAATCATAATGTTGCGGTAGGAGAATATGTTAGTAAAGTGTTTGGTCATACAACTGAGTATTTGGTCAAACGAAGTGATAGTATAATTGGCATTGCAATAGCGAAAATCGATATTGAAGTAATAATTATTTCATAATATATATTAGAGTAGATTGAACAGTTAATAAGTTGATAATTGTAAGCATTATATGAAGTAAATAGATTATAGTAAATATTCATGTATATATTTATGAAAATAGATCAAGTAATGTTTGTTTCCCTGTCGGTTAGCCATAAACTTTATGGCATATCCAGTTCCGCCACGAGGAGGCCAGGAAACGTCGGAACCATATTTACAATTGTTAACAAATGTACAAGCTAAGTTTTGTATAAGATAAGTAGATCCATAAGTATGTAGATTGATAAGTAAATAAGTTGATAAAAGTAAAGTATTATATGAAGTAAATAAGTTATAGTAGATATTCATGTATATATTTATGAAAATAGATCAAGTAATGTTTGTTTCCCTGTCGGTTAGCCATAAACTTTATGGCATATCCAGTTCCGCCACGAGGAGGCCAGGAAACGTCGGAACCATATTTACAATTATTTACAAATGTACAAGTTAGTAAACTTTACTAACTACCTAAAGAAGTAAAAACAACAACTCAACTAACTAATAAAAATAAGAAAAAAATATATACAACAACGGGGACTTTTGATAAGGCAGGCCCCCTATCGTACTGCCAAACTAGAATACTAAAAACACACGAAAAACGAAAATATATAACGAAGATATTAAGAAACTAAACTAACTACTAAAAAAAGAAAAAAATATATACAACAACGGGGACTTTTGATAAGGTAGGCCCCCTATCGTATTGTCAAACTAGAATACTAAACACACAAAAAACTACTTATTTCTAAACAAAAAAAAAATAACTAAAAGGAAATATGTACAACGGGGACTTTTGGTAAGGCAGGTCCCCTATGTACAACTGCCGGTGTTGTCAAGTCACGACGGGGAGTTTTGATGAAGCAGATCCCCTAGCCTACTGCTGGTGTCAAGTCCGGTTTAGAGTAGGAGATCGTCGTACACGATGTTTTTCGCGTACGCGATCCCACCTCGGACACGTTCGGGATGTACCAGAACGACAATATGGTCAGGATGTCTGACCCTACTTAGCAAGACATACAGTTGCCCGTGCGTGAAGCAATCGGTCCGTAAATCAACACCGACTGAATCTATTGTCTGACCTTGGCTCTTGTGTCCGGTCATGCAATAGGCCAACATCAGTGGGAACTGACGTCGACGAACACGTAACGGCGAACCCTCGACAAACGCGAACGTAAACGTAATCCGGGGAATTCCGATAGGTTGCGTCTGTCCGGGAAGTCTCACTGTAATCAGACGGTTGGAGATGCCGATTACAATGACTTTAGTGCCGTTGACGAGTCCTTCAGCGATGTTGAGATTCCTCATAATGAGGCAAACAGAGCCGATCTTCAGCCGCAGAACATGGTCTGGTACGCCCTTGCCAGTAGCCGTGTTCAGGAGTTGAACGTCGACATCCAGGCCATCGTCGTTCTCTCTGTCCACTGTGTCGGCGCTCCTCAGCTCGTACAGATGACCGTCAAGGGAGTTCAAGATGTGGTCGTTGATCTCCTTGACGTTCACTATCAGAGTCGAGAGGATTGCGCGTCGCGAACACAGATCAGAGTCGAGTAGGACGTTTGAGGGAAAGACGGAATCGACCAAATCAGTCAAAGACGTCACTTGTCTAATTCCGAGCAACGGAATTAGACTTTGTTCGTTCCGTCCCTCCAAGAAAGTGGTCGAACTAACAGTACCGTTGCCTACCCCGAGAAGGAAATCTGAATAGGCCGTGGACCTACTAGTTCGGTGAGCTGTGGTCAGGGCAAAGATTTTAAAGTGTTTCCAGAGATGGGAGGCCCGAAGTGAAACGCAAACAATGTCAGATGGCGTTCGAGCGTTCACGACGACGGGTGCGATCTGGCGGAAGTCACCACAGCAGAGGAAGATTTTACCACCGAATAGCTCACTGGAACGCATGAGGTCTCGCAGGGATCTGTCGAGAACCTCGAAAACGAACCGATGTGCCATCGGTGCCTCATCAAAGACAATAAGCCTTGCGGCTCTGATGAGCTCTGCTCGCTGGGAGCCGTTGGTAATGTTCCAAAAGCCGGTGCTGTCACCGAAGTCGAGCGGCAACCGGAACATGCTGTGTGCTGTAGTACCACCAGGCATGTTACCCGCGGCTATCCCAGAGCTGGCGACTGCCAGTGCAACCTGACGACAACCTCTCACGTATGCGAGGATGACACGAATCAGAGTGGTCTTTCCGTAGCCACCCGGACCGTCGAGGAAAATGATTTTCGACGACGTTCCGCTGGCTGGGGCATTGAGAACGGAGGTAACGTACTCAAATACACGGTGTTGGTCTTCAGAGAGCTTTGGCACCCACTCCTCCACAAACGCTCTCTGTTGATTTTCGCCGTGTAAGAGCAGTTCTCTGCCCAACTCCGTCGTGTCATCGTGTACATCGGGGAGGCCGTGATCTGCGACGCAAGAGCCCTGCCGACGGAGACTACGATCAATCTCGATGAGACCTAGCTTGTAGGCCAGTTCAACATCGAGAGGGTTACGCTCAATGTGGTCCTCGCAGATGGAATCACGGAAGGCATCCCACAGTAGAGCGGCGGGAGCTCCCATGTTGCAGAGGATCACAAAGAAAGAACGAAGTCTAGGGCCAGTCATGAAGGTGGTGGCTTCGCGCAGCGCGTAGTGGTACTCCTGTTCGTCTTGCACCAAGCCCAGATGCCGCGCGACCCCTTGAAAAGTGCGACAGTTTGGTCCACCACGGGACAGGAGGTCGGCATAACCACGGCAAGGAACAGACATGAGGAGGATACGAAGATAGTACTGTTCGGTCCTGCTTGGAGAGACCCAAAACAGTCTGCACACCTTCTCGCCGCGCTGACGGGCAGTGATGAAATGAACGCCGTCGGGATGCTCGTACACCTCTGCAGTTTTCGGACGCTTTGCGTGAAGTACGTACGTTTCATAAAAACCCTGGTATGTCACGTCGTCAAAGAGTGAAATACGAGGCCGGTCAAAGTAGATAATGAGTTTGGAGCTGTTTCTAGCGGCTGCCTCTGCCAGTTGACCAGGTCTAAATAGAACGGACTGCTTGCCCTCCAGGTGGACACAATATACATCTAGTATACATGTAGATTATTGGTAGCAACCTAGAACAAGACTTGTCTAGTGACACTTCTGGATCCTTCAGACGACTCATGGTCTCTCTATGTCAGGTGAGAACGTGTCACAATATACATCTAGTATACATGTAGATTATTGGTAGCAACCTAGAACAAGACTTGTCTAGTGACACTTCTGGATCCTTCAGACGACTCATGGTCTCTCTGTGTCAGGTGAGAACGTGTCACAATATACATCTAGTATACATGTAGATTATTGGTAGCAACCTAGAACAAGACTTGTCTAGTGACACTTCTGGATCCTTCAGACGACTCATGGTCTCTCTGTGTCAGGTGAGAACGTGTCACAATATACATCTAGTATACATGTAGATTATTGGTAGCAACCTAGAACAAGACTTGTCTAGTGACACTTCTGGATCCTTCAGACGACTCATGGTCTCTCTATGTCAGGTGAGAACGTGTCACAATATACATCTAGTATACATGTAGATTATTGGTAGCAACCTAGAACAAGACTTGTCTAGTGACACTTCTAGATCCTTCAGACGACTCATGGTCTCTCTGTGTCAGGTGAGAACGTGTCACAATATACATCTAGTATACATGTAGATTATTGGTAGCAACCTAGAACAAGACTTGTCTAGTGACACTTCTGGATCCTTCAGACGACTCATGGTCTCTCTATGTCAGGTGAGAACGTGTCACAATATACATCTAGTATACATGTAGATTATTGGTAGCAACCTAGAACAAGACTTGTCTAGTGACACTTCTGGATCCTTCAGACGACTCATGGTCTCTCTATGTCAGGTGAGAACGTGTCACAATATACATCTAGTATACATGTAGATTATTGGTAGCAACCTAGAACAAGACTTGTCTAGTGACACTTCTAGATCCTTCAGACGACTCATGGTCTCTCTGTGTCAGGTGAGAACGTGTCACAATAAACGTATAGGCTAGTATACATGTAGTATTGGTAGCAATCTAGAACAAGACTTGAATAGTGACACAAGACTTAATTGCCAGAAATAGTTTCTTCACCTGAAAAATGTTCTACATTGTGGAGTTGGTAACATATTTTCACTAGGCCTATATGTATTTATGTTTTAAATACTTCACAGGGAAGAAGAGATGAAAACTACATTGTAGATCATCATGCTGCTGTCATGGATGCACAGAGATTGCTGGAAGCTGGTAAGCAATGGATACTAATTATAAATATAAAATTAATTATGTATGCCTGCAACAGTTGGCCTAACACTTTTTAATAGGCTCTGTTTAATCTAATTCGTGTCTAGTAGTTTCATGTAATGTAACTCTAAATTTTAAAGTAGGCCTACAAAAGGCCAATGTATAATATTTTTTTTATATTTCACAAGCGCTATTTACTTTTGGTTTTAGTTTACAACACAGTCTGAAGATGAAAACATGATTTTCAAAAGCGCTTGTGAATATAAATACCCCCGCCGCAGCAAACCTGCAGACTAAGCGAATTTCCATTTACCTGGCTCGATTTCTACTAAAATATTCCCTAAAAATTGTCAGATTTATTTCCTATTTAAATAACATTAATTTTAGGAAGTACTTAAGATTGCTGCTACAGGGAAGATATTGAGGTGTTTTTTTTTATTGCAATGTTGATAGCATAGTCTTATATGTTGATGTTCGAATGTAAAATAATATACATAGAAAACTCTTGTTAATACAACAGATTTTGGCTTTTATTTATGTTCCAGTGGAATTTCAATTTATTATAACTGTCTAATTTATGTAAACTACTTTAAAGTACCGACAAATAGTGCATATTAACAATTGTAAAATATAGGCCTAGTGAAACATTGAGTTGAAGCCAGTGCACTCAAACGGCACCAACATGAAACAGTCATCACTCATCAAAACTGACTTGCTTATTTCTCCTATATCAAGTAATATTCAGTGTAATCATTGCTCAATAGTAACATCTGATTTTATCCCTTTGTACTGTATATTGTTATTTGTTTGTATAGGCCTACTGTGGATGGCTTGTCATAATCACACGCTACAAGTCTTTTGTTTACTTTTTGATTGTTATTTTGTTCAACCAACACTTACTTGGCAACCCATAAGGCCAATGTTTAATTTTTAAATGAGTTGTGTAGCTAAATACAAATTTTCCTGAGGTAGTGGCTGTTAGTACAGGGTGTCTACCAACCGGGAAATCCGGGAATTGTACTTAATTTTTTACTGGCCATGAAATGTACGGGAATTGTCCTTAAATGCCAGACTATGTCCTTAAATTTTTAATGGGCCATAATTTTATTGATCGCTAGTTGGTTAGGAGCACATAAAAGGTTTATCAGATGTTTGTTTACATTTTCATAATTTATTACTAGAGTAATTATGCAATAAAAATCCCATTAGCAATATCAAACCCATTAATATTTTATCACGACAATCAAGTGTCAAGTCAAGTACCTTCAAGAACTGTTGACTCAGTTAGCTAGCTCATAAAAGTTGTATCACTTTTATTCCTTTACAACTTCTTTTTTTATTACTAGGGCTTATTATGAGATTATATTATGAGGAATTATTATGAGATCCCAAACCTATTTTATCGGGAAAATAATAGCTTTATAATGGCTGTTAAATTTCACTTCTTATTTGTACTTTCGGCTTAAAGATTCAATTTGCCGAGGCCATTGCCTAGTGCCATAAAACTGTTTATGGTTTCACATTAAACATGTAAATAATCTACAGTCTTATTTTGTAAGTTAACCCCTTTTTTATGGATATTTTATCTTTCAATTGACAAAACCACAAGCATTGTTGTTTGCATTAATGTTTTATCACTATCCACTATGTAGGCCTGCTTGGTTTCAAATTATGTCATTGCGTTTTCTGTATCTTTGTCTTATATTGTTGGCTATTCAGGTTTCAATGTTTTTTGTTTCCCATATGTATGCTTTAAGCAATCTAAATCTTATGAACTAGAATTATTATAGTGACTTTGCTGCTATTATAACCTCATTGTTTGTTACCCAGTTTATATAGGCCCTCCTAAATAATTAGGTCTAGGCCTGGGTATTTTGATTCTTGAAAGAGCTGTAAAATATATTAAGAAAATGTAATTGAGCCTAGATAAACGACTAATGATTGCTATGTGTCGATATTAACTTTGCAAATGAAAATACAATAATCTTACTCTGTGCTTATTGCTTATTGGTAGCCGCTTACCATACCTTGATTTTGTACTAAGAACTGAGTAACAATGTGCATTAAAGATTTTTTTTTCAAAAGTAGTCGAGAGCCTAACGTTTTGCCAGGGAGAATTATGCCAAATTAATCGACCTGGATCGGATAAGCTATGTTATGAAGTTTACGTGCCCGATGGAGATATTTGTCGCTGTCGCAGGAGACAATGATTGCGTTTCTCTGTTACACTATACAAGCTTTACCTAAAGTATAGGTAGGCCTATGCTTGTTTACTTTCAATAAATTTCTATTTTGAAATTTTCTAACTCTTATCTATTATTATTTACTTTTCTCTCGGGCACAACTACAGTTAATAACAAGATTAATACAGTTTGACAAATCAGGAAAATTATTCGGTAGGCCTAATGACACCGACAAAAGTTACGGCAAAGTGTCCTTAAATGTACGGGAATTGTCCATGAATTTTTTATCCAGAATGTAGTAGACACCCTGTAGTAGCCAATCAAGTTTTTAAGGATATAAGTCCCTAATTCCAAAATCCTTTCGCTGGAGTTTCGCTGGAGACAGATAGACATACAGACAGACAGACAAACAGACTTTGCTTGTATTAGAGTATAGGATTTAAAATCTATAAAAGCTTCAGCCCCATAGGTCTGCAACTGAACCATTTTGATTTATTTATTCACATTAAACAAAAAAAAATCTAGTACTCAAAAAACTATCGACCGTTATGACATGAAAAGAGGTCTCTAGACATTTAGTTTTGGCACTTAGTTGCTTTAGGTCATTTTCATAATCATGTAATATTACACGAACCAGTTGAATGTCATTGGAACATTTTAAACTTTTTCACGTCATGACAGCTGCTACACACACAGTGTGTGTCTGTGCTTGCAGGAGAGCTGATGTTAGGTACAGACGAGTCTACGTTCAACGCCATCTTGTGTCAACGCAGCTACCCACAGCTGGTGCAGATCTTCATGGAGTACCAGCGCCTGGCCGGACATGGGATAGAAAAAGCAGTGAGGGGAGAGTTCTCAGGGGACATTGAAACTGGTCTGCTAGCTATCAGTAAGTATAACATACATTATAACCTTGCATACATTACTTAAAACACAAATAATCAGATAATCGTAAGAAGAAGGTCTGAAAAGTAGTATACTCAATTACAGTGAGACAAATACTAAACAATCCGGAATTGAATGTGTAATATTTAATATATAACCTCGTAGTTTATACTTAATGTGATATTCAACCCTGTATAAATACATGTATGTATGCATACCCATATACATGTCAAGACTTTAGACTGGTAGAAACTGTTGATTATCCATAGGTTAGATAAAGAAGGATCTACTGTACTTCTACATTACTAGTAGTTCGCTTATTCAGCGGGTAACGGGATGAGTGAGCGCAACAATGGAAGAGTCCACCCGCACTTACTTTACCGGTGTCACTGGTGAACACAATATTATTTGTATGGGTAATTCCACCAAATCTCTGTTAACAACAATCATAACTTCTCGTCCATTAATTAACCAAAGTCATTGGTAAAATTTGTCGTGGATATCCAACAATTATCAATATGTGGTAAATCCATCGTTCCTGTACGTGTTGTCTTTTGTAAATTCATCTCTTTAAAATTATACACAATATTTTTACCGATCAACGTTTTGTTTTAGAAATGTTTCCTTATTTGTTATTAGGCATATCATAAACTAAACGAAGCCAAACTGAACTAATCCAACTTAACCTAATTACTGCAACACAGTGTACAAGAGTCTTCTAAAAAAGATGGTATGGCTTAAAATGCATATATATATAATACTTACAAACGATAAATAAATCAATTATAAAATGCCTTTATTTACGAGCGTCTCTCTTCCCATAGCATTTTAGTATTGCAGATACATTAATCTAACTGCCACAAACTGTTCCCACAGTTAGAACTGCTCGCCTTTAAAAATTCCTTCACCACTTCCTACGTCCTGGACCTGTTTCCCTCCCTTTCCATATCATTTTAGTATTGCAGATACATTAATCTAACTGCCACAAACTGTTCCCACAGCTAGAACTGCTCGCCTTTAAAAATTCCTTCACCACTTCCTACGTCGTGGACCTGTTTCCCTCCCTTTCCATATCATTTTAGTATTGCAGATACATTAATCTAACTGCCACAAACTTTTCCCACACTCTGCAATGCTCGCCATTACTCGCCATTACCACTTCCTGCACCACTTTCTACGACGTGTACCTGTTTCCCTCCCTTCCCATAACATTTTAGTACTACAGATACATTTATTTACATGCTACAAAGGGTTCCTATACTCCAAACTGCTCGCCTTTACCCACTTCCTACAACGTGAACCTGTTTCCCTCCCTTCCAATATAATTTTAGTAATTGCAGATACATTAATCTAATCGTCACAAAATGTTCTTACACTCAGAAATGAAATGAAATGAAAAAAAAATTGTTTATTTTTTAAGGCAAAGTTAGGGCCATTTTCAGGCAAAGTTAGGGCCACATGGCCCTTTCTTACACTTAACCTGACATTCAAAATATAACAAAAATAATGTTACATTGGGATAACTTAATCTAATTAAACATAAAAATATTTAACAATTCAAGTAGGTACCTACATATCTCAGAAAAAAAAGAAAAAAAACATACAAATTTAACAAATAGAAAAACACATTTCCACACTCTCGCATACACGCATCAGCAAAAGCGCAAAGAAACAGTAGCCCTAGGACACGCCAGCCGAGACCATCTTCTCAAAATAGAGCTTTTTCAGTGCCGCCACAAACTGGGAACGCTTTTCTAGTGTCTTAATGTGCAGGGGTAGGCTGTTCCACAGATGACAAACGGTAATAACAAAAGCCCTGCCATAAGCTGTGGTCACATGATGAGGTATACGCAATGTGGTCGAAGAATAACGAGACATTCGTGAACTACCCTGAGACACAAATTTAAAATCGGATTTGAAATATTTTGGGGAGATCTGCTCGCCTTTACCACCTCCTTCACCACTTCCTACGACGTGGACCTGTTTCCCTTCCTTCTCAAAGCATTTTAGTATGAAAATAAACTAACATTAATTTGAACAATGTAAAAAGCTGCCTAATAGCAAAATTAGGGATGGTCAAGTCTCGAAATTTCGGGAAATTTTCGGGAAATTTTCAATCTCGTTACACGAGACGAGATTACTTTTTGGCCGAGATTTTTATCGAGACGAGAATTAAAAAAAAAAAAAAAAAAAAAATTAAAAACGCCTGCAGAAAGTCAATGCAATACCCGCAATACAGGAGCGTGTTGTAGTTGCGTTTCCTTTTCGAAGGCGTTCTTATTTAATTAATTCTTTTAATGTAAATATTACTTTAATTCTTTTAATGTAAATATTACTTTCATTATTTTAATAATATTACTTTAATAACATTTGAGAAGTTTTGTTAAGTGTAAGCAGTGTGAGGAATGTTTTATTACTATAAAAAAGTCAAAACAAGTAACTATTTTATAAAAATTAATATTGCTTTTATTTTATGATTTATTTTATTTTAGGATAAGTTGAACTCTATCCTAACTGATATCACCATGTTTCCTAATCGTAGGCATTTTTAATAAGTTAGGCGTGATTAATAAAAAAATGTTATGCTGATGTTATTTAATGAAAGATTGTAAATATTCTTGCCTATTATCATTATTTTAGTATTTAAACAGTCATCTAACAATGTTACAAAATCAGGTAAAAATTTCGAACGTGCATTTCCCGTTGTGTATGAGAAGAGAAATCTCGTCTCGATCTCGTCTCGAAATTTTATGAGAAATAAAAAATCTCGTCTCGTCTCGTCTCGAACTAAAAATCCAATCTCGTCCATCCCTAAGCAAAATATACATATTTGTGATGTAAAGGTCAGTTTTAATAATGGACATATTCTGTATATAACTGCCGACTAATATTGTAAAGTTCACTTTATTATTCTGGAAATTGTATAGTTATAATTTCATATATTCATAGACGTCAAACTGTTTACTCCATGAATGAAAATATTTAGAGAAAAGTTGTTCTCTTTGCCTAAAGTAGACAACAAAATTTTACAATCAAAATGTAAACAAATAAAAAGAAGAAGAAGGTAGCTTCTAATGTTATTCTTATGGGACAAATTTAAAAATTTATTTTTAGGGTTTTATAATTACTACTGAGCGGAATCGTTGAGAATTTTAATGGTATCTTCCCAGTGGTGTCATAATTGTCTGTGCAAAATTTGATCGCTATCAGTTTAACGGTTCTTGAGTTTTTTACGCGAACACACAGACGCACAGACAAGGGGATAGCTAATCTCTGACTCCGCTATACACGATACATAGATTCGTTCACTCATCTGTTATTGTTATGTTGAATGATAATATTTCTTAAATTCAAAACAAAAATGACCATAAAAATAAGAATTATTAAACATAATTTTTATTCTTAAGGCCCTGTACACATGAGGGGGGCAGCCGCCGCAGTTGCTATTTCGCGGGAACCGCGGCGGTTGAAAGTACAAAGGAGCAAATGGGACCGTTCACATGCAACCGCCCACTTCCAATCAACCGCAACGAACCGCGGCGGTCGTAGATTTCCCTTCGACCGCCGCGGCTCCCGTGCGATTGAAGTTACTAGAGTTGGAATGAGAGCGTACACATGAGGGCGGTAGCCGCCGCGGTTGACTGCAGTTGCTACTATAGGATCACAGACATCTGCGCGCTTGCCCTGTGGACATCGATCTCTCTCTCGCTGTGTTGGTGAAGTGTGTAGCTGTGGCTGGAGTTGATGTAGTGCTTGTAGTGTAAGTTAACAATGGCCATGCGTGCTGCTATGGAACCAGAAAACTTTGACACTGAACTGTCCATTAAAGAAGTACAAAAAGAAGATACGTTTAGGACATAAACTTAAAAAAGAATGCGTGGCAAGAGTTATTTGAGTTTTTTGCTGAAAAGAATTGTCAAGTGTTACGCGTTTAAAAGAAAAATAATTGGGTAAATACAGTACTGGCTGTCGAGCGACGGTCAATTCACACTGCAACCGCAGCGTAACCGCGGCTCCAACCGCTGCCATGTGTACGCTCCTAGGCGGCCACCGCTGCGGCCACCACGGCGGCTGCCGCCCTCATGTGTACAGGGCCTAAAAGAGTTATTTTCCAAGGGGATTGACAAAAAGGTAAATGTAATGTCAAATAGTAAAACAATTTAGCAGGCAATAAAGGAAAGATTACTACATTTCTTGTTACACACTTTTATGTGGTAGGTAAAATCAAATGTAGGTGTTTGGAACGATTAATCTTTTAAATAAATAAAAGAATATCTTATTCTGGTGGCTATTTATAATCAAAGTCTATTAATACTGAACAATTGAGAGTGGCAAATTCACCTTTATCCTCTGGAAATAATTACAGAATGCTCTAACACAGCTATTCTCTGGGGGCCTTTTTCATATAAACTACAAACTAATATCAATTATAGTGGTTTAAACACTTGATTCTGGCAGTGCAATTTTTGTATTCCACAACTAGTTTCGACCTGCTAAGAAGTCATCATCCTGATGATTACTTCACATGAAGGTCGTCAGGATTAAAAGTTTTTTACACATACACATGCACATACACAAACACATAGCGCGCACACACATACACCCCCGATAAAATGAATCATTAAACAAGACAAGCGGACCGGTGTTGGTAATGCAGAAGTTGAGTTTAGACTGTTGGATACACAGCTAGTCAGGTATCACACGCATTTCCTTAGAAAGAAATGAAAGATTGAACCAAAATAAAAAGTCTGTTGGCCGACTATAGTTCTTCCCTTAGTAATAAATTCAAATCCTTAATGGGGAAAAATAATGTAACAGGAAAAAAACTTTAGGAAAAAAAACAATCTGGCACTACTATTGAAAGAAAGGCCAAATGCAAGTAAACCTAAGTATGAAAAAAGTGGTGTTTACTAAGTTACTATTGTTCAGAATTGAGCCGACCCCTCGCACCGCCCCCAGACGAACAACTATTGGAAGCATGCCCCCCATAGTGACAGTGCGAGTGGCCGCCCCACATCCCTAACAAAAGTGAAAGGCCGTGGGTGAATATTAAAAACAAACAAACAGTTGTCAACAAAGCCTATAATTAATCTCAAAATTCAACAATAACAACAAAGCAGCCATCCAAAGAATTATTTTATCAAAAATTTTAATGAAAAGGAATTTAGCCTACCCTTCTGAACTTACAAGAACTGGTACCAGTAACAAAATTAGGCCTAACAAATAAATAATTAAAAGTGGTAACTGTAAAAGGAAGGTAACAGTGGACTACAACTTTAAATAAATAAATAACTTTCAAATAAATAAATAACAATTAGCTTAAAAATAAATAACAAATAATAAATTATTTGGGGGCCCCTTTAGAGATTTAAGTCTTTAAAAAAGCTGATATTTTCAAAAATAACTTGCGTTAGGTGGCACTTTTCACATCACACTAGTGGCGGTGTTCCATCTGGATGTCGGAAAACATCACCTCCGGATGTTTGTATGGAGGGCGGCATAATGGTCCCCGGAGAAGCTGGGCCGTAGGCAGCCCAAGGAGGCAGAAGATGGCGTGTCCCTCCGGGCGACCCTCTCCGAGGACAGCGGCTGATGAAACCTCACATCCGGGACCCTTTGAACACATTCCAGGCCTAACTAATAAAAGTCCATATAAACTTGAGAACATTAGGCCTACTAAGCTTTTCAAGAAAAATTCCATAAACAATATCCGCACCACTCGTTCACTAACCAAAACTATTACAAATGAGATTTTTATTAAAAATATTTTTCTTTTAATAGGCTTTCCTTTATTTAAAACAGTCTTTAAGAGTTATAAAGAGAAAAATGACTAGACAAAATTAATTCAGATAAATAAAGCTTTAAAAACATAACAATAAATAGACTTTTAAATATTACTAACTTTAACGACACATTCTGACAGACATTTTTCATAAAAATTTAAGTTGACAATAAAAGATATGAATTTAGGGTCCAGAAGGGTAATATACACTAGTAAAACACAAAACAGTTACATAAATACTACAATTAATACTTCAAAAAACAGTTTACACAAAATATTAAAAATTCTTTGGCTGGAGGTGCAATTTCAGGTAAAACCGGTAATAACTCCGGTTATTACCAACCAAATTTGCTCAAATTGCTTTTAAAAGCTGTGGCACAGGTGCCCGCAGCTTTTAAAAGACATACCCATGCCTACCAACTAGCCTGAGGCTAGGTAGGGGGTCAGTTACCTACGGTCACTCAGAAAACAGGAAAGCGCTAAACTAAAACTTAAATAACTCGGTCATTTATCAACCAAACTTAATGAAAATTGCAGGGGACATGTAAGAGCACTAATACTAACTAATTATGACCGAGCTTGGCCCCCAGGAGGCGCCATTACTTAACTAAAAAAAATTAGGCTGAGTGACATGGCCTACATTACAAATAACAAAAAAACACTTTTACAGGGGACAAAGGGACAAAATTTACATTAAACAAATTGTAGGCCACAATAACAAAACCAAAATGAGCACAAACTAGGCCTTAGGCCTAATAGTAAGTTAACAGGGACACAGAACAAACGGACCCTAGCCCGCACAAAAGTGAGTTTCAAAGTGAGTTTTCTTGGGTAATATCTGGCCTAGAGTCTCGGGGAAAGCTTTGAAAACTTGACAACAACAAAAACTACAAAACTAACCAGAAAAACTTGTGGTCAGACCACACAAAGCTTGGCCAAAGGCCCATAGAAACTCTGAACAATTCCAGGCTCAGAAATGGGTCTAGCGCCTTGAAAACAAGTAATTGGTAATTAAAAGTAATACCAATGCACAGAAGGTGCTTAATACTTGTCTTTCACTAGCCAAAACCCACTCAAAGCCTGCTCAACATGTGGCTGAAGGCCAAAACTAATTCAGAAACTTTCTAACCTAAACAAATCAAAATATCAATCAACTTACTCATCTGACGACTGGCAAAACACTTAAATCATGACTTGAATTGACGACGAACAGAAGAACAAAATTAACAGTGACATTGAAGGATGAACACTGATATTCATCGAAGATAACCAAGTCTTGACAAATCGACAATCGCCGGCCTTCTGGTGAAAATGTGACAGAAGGCGGACATTGACTCTGGGTTGCAGGATTGCTGCCCGACCCAAACCGACTGAGTTCCGGCGCAAAGCCAGTACTCGCACTATACAAAAACACTGAGGCGTGACATTGGTGGGACGCTTGGTGGGCAAGTCACGGCTCAGAATGTAAAAAGTATTACATAGGCCAAACTTCCGGTTCTTCTCTTAACGCTTTAAAGAATACATATCAAAGAAGACCACCTCAAAACAAACTATAACCTTTGCCAAACATCTAGTTTCATGGAAATTTTACATACATCACAAGATAAGTTTAAAATTAACACCCTGGAAAAATTGAGATGTATAGAGCTCGCTGTCAAATCAGACAAGTATAATGTTTTAAATGACCAACTTTATTTTAATTAAAACATCACCTACAACACCGCAGTATAAATACGGGAGAGAGGAAGGGAGGGCAGAGACAATGGAACCGGCGATCACCTACAACACCCGGCGAGTGATAAGGAAATGTGTGTGATACCTGACCAGCTGTGTATCCTACAGACTCAACTTCCGCATTACCAACACCGGTTCGCTCATAGTGTTTAATGTTTCATTTTATCGGCCGTATGTGTGTGCATGCTATGTGTTTGTGTACATGTATGTGTATGTGTAAAAAACTTTTAATCCTGACGACCTTCATGTGAAGTAATCATCGCTGTACACACCTGATGATAACCTCTTAGCAGGTCGAAACTAGTTGTGGAATACAACAATTGGATTGCCAGAATAAGGCATTTAAACCACTATTATTAGTTATTCTTTGCAAACCAGAGGCTACTCATACTACAATGAAACTATTATTACTAGTGTACATGTTGCTTGAATTCGAGCAATTGCAAAGTATTACAGAAGACATTTCAAAACGAATAACAGTCATATTTACAACAAATTGAAAAGAGTCAACTCAAAGATTACCGGTGTGTAACTCAGACTATGTTTATCTTCGTTATTGATAAACCTAAAGCATTCGGGCCGGTTTTCTCCTTCTCAAAATGCCTCGCTGTACAGGCAACACAGGTCATTTATAGAGGGCCAATTGAGAACGAAAAGTCGTTTTGGGGTAGTGTTAGGGGGCATTTGTAACCTAATAGTTGAGATTGTCCAGGGTCAGGTGCTGACTGTGATGAGTTAAGCCTAATACTCGCCACTGTTCTGTGAACTGCAGTCGTTATCACAATTACGCCTCCTGTCTATATGTGTTGTTGTCGTCACGTCGGAGGCATATGAAAGAAAAAAACACCAAATAAACAAATGATAGCTACACAAAACAACGATAAATGTTACAATCGTGCTAACACGATCCGTCATAGCTACACAAAACAACGACAAATAAATACACAAATTTAAGATACTGTACAACCATACTAACAAAATCCGTCTTGGAGGTTATGTTTACACAAACTCAAATAGTAAATAAATGTACTCGATGGGTTTCATTGAATTGAAAAATAAATAACAGCAATTAAATTAAACAGCTGACCAAAATGTAAACAATTATGTTCTTCATAAGGATAACATGGGAACTTTCAAAGCCACTGGAGCAGAGCCCAAGGGACTTTTTCAAAAATGTAAGGCCAGTTTGCAAATCTACGTGACCCGCTCTTTCCAATGAGACGTCAATGGATAAAATCGGTTAAGAAATGGCGGAGGAGTTCAACCGACAAAGTTTCATGTAGCGTATTAATTATATAGATTAGTAAATCAGCTAATCTCCCAATGAAAATCTAATGGAAATTATAAGTTGTACAACTTAAGTTAATTATAAGTAGTTAATTAGTAGTTAATTATAAAACGTGGTCATTTGTAAACCTATGGATGTTTTCACAGTCAAGTCTGTAAAGGACAAGGCAGGTTTCTTCGCAGAGCAGCTCCATGACAGCATGGCTGGGATGGGCACCAGGGATCGAGCTCTGATACGTATCATCACCATCCGCTCTGAGATCGATCTGGAGGATATCAAGCGAGCGTTCCATCAAAAGTACGGAACAACCCTTGCAGACTTCATCAAGGTATGAAACTAACATTAGTTTAAATTGGTTTAGTATTTTAGTCGTGACAGCCGCCCAGACAGACAGACACCACCTCAATTTTATATTAGAATAGATGGAGGGATTAGTATTGTGTTTTGAATCACCTGCATACTTATCAGAAGAATCTAATAACTGATGCTTGAATATCAAGTAATAGTAGATTACGTTACTAGCCATTTGTTGTTCATGTTAAGCCATTTCGTTGTAGCCCAGTAAATGAAAATGAAATAAGTAAAATAATTTTATCTTTTAAAAATAAACTATCTTGTGGTCATGACGAGGTTCCACTAAAATTAATTAAATATGTCAGAAAATCTATTTTAAAACCTATTGTACACATAATTAACTGCTCTTTAATAACTGGAGTTTTTCCTGACAGTTTAAAAATTGCTAAAGTGATTCCAATTTTCAAGACAGGGGAAAAAACTGAGGTAAAAAATTATCGACCTGTGTCCTTGTTGACTTCCATATCTAAAATATATGAAAGAGTAATGTACAACCGTGTTGTGGATCATTTAGTAAATAACGATTTCTTTGATGATGAGCAACATGGTTTTCGAAAAGGCAAGTCCATAACTACTGCTTTAATGGATTTTACAGACACTATAATTGACGCAGTTGATAAAGGAAACAAAGTAGTTGGTATTTTTATGGACCTTACAAAAGCTTTCGACAGTATATCACACAAAATACTTTTAAATAAATTGCAAAATCTGGGTATAACAAATCGTTATATAGATTGGTTTGAATCATATCTCTGTAATAGAAGACAGTATGTTGAGATTGTGTCTGAAACAACTGGTAAAATCTTAAAACATAACTCAAAAATGATAAACATCAAACATGGAGTTCCACAAGGCTCTATTCTTGGGCCTTTGTTATTCTTGTGCTATGTGCAAGGAATGCCCTCTATATTAAAAAGCTTTAATGGTAGCAATAGCAAGTTAGTTCTGTATGCTGACGATTCAAATTTAATAACATCATCTAAATCTTATAATGATCTTGAAATTGTGTGTAATGAACAATTAAAATGTTTTCAATCCTATTTCTCAGAAAACAGTTTATTTTTAAATCATGGAAAAACAAATAAAATGTTCTTCTCAACAGTGCAAAATAAAGACAATCCGGAATTGTCCATATCAATAGAGCAAAGTCAAGTAGAGACAATAAAATTCACAAAATTCTTAGGTTTAATTGTGGATAACCATTTGAATTGAGATCTTCATGTTCTTCATTTAGTAAAAAAGATTTCTTCAGGATTATACGCCTTAAAAAGAATGTCATTTTTATGTAATCTAGAAACACTAAAATGTATTTATTTTGCTCATATACACTCACATCTGTCATATGGTCTAGCAATCTATGGGGGCACTAGTGCACAAAACCTAGATAAAATACTTAAACTTCAAAAAAAGGCTTTGCGAATAATGTTAAACCTGGAACCTAAAACATCTGTAAGAAACCACTTTTCACAATTAGATATACTAACTGTCTATGACCAGTATATTTTAGAATGCATTATCTCTGCCAAAAATAACATTCATAAGTATGTGTTTCGCAAAGATATACACGTATATAACACAAGAAACAGAGATCAAATAGATATACCCCGGCATAACCTCACTTTTTTCTCAAAGAAAGCAACACAAATCGGATGTAAATTTCTTAATAAATTACCATCAAATCTGAAAACTAATATACACACAAAGGGATTTAGGAAATTAGTAAGAAAATATCTTCAAGATAAAACTTGTTATTCTATAGAAGACTTATTTTTATAGCTCTATTAATCCATCCTATAATCAAGCTTATTTGCTACCAGCAAACTAGAGCTGGTTGTAGGTATATATTTACAAAAACAATTTCAATGATAAAGAAGAAAAAAATACAAATTGCAAGATCTAGTGACTGGTGAGTGAATTTAATAAATTTGTCTTTAGCCTTTTGTTATGTAGGACTAACTAACCAAAAGAGTAAAAAATGTTTTAACTACATTCATAAATACACAGCATTAATAAAGGATTGTATTGCATAGATTTAGCAATGTATGTAAATAAAATAATGTTAAAATAAGAAACATAATGTACTTGTTAGTTCTTATTTCTGTGACTCTATTCATGTATGTATGTACAGTTTGAATAAAGATGATTTGATTTGATTTAGCCCGGTAAGTGGTGTTTTACCGTGCAGGATTTTCGTGCACGTACGTTTAAGGTTACCGGGCGAGTAACATAAGATACTTTACATCATAATACACAGAATAGTTAGTACATTTTAAACGCATAACACAATTTATTTAGGACATAACATAAATTATAATAGTTTTATATTACAGAAAATAAAATAGGCCGTTGCAGTTAGCTTTTTATTTCATCAGCTGACTAAGTGTACGGTAAAAGTACATAATGTTACTTTTCTGTGTTTAGGCACGGTAAAGGGCAACTTTCCAGCCTATCAACATGGATTGAAAAGTACCTGTTTCTGTTCTGTGTAGTATGATGTAAACACAATACTACTTACTTGTTCACCAATATTATTTAAACTTGATTGATTATGTGTGTTAGTGTAACAGTATTTTTAATAGATAAACCATATTTCTACCTACTGCTTTACTGCCTTACAAACTGCTGTGGTGAGGACGGACATAACTGATCACTACAGTATCTGCCTACAAATAAGTCACAACCCCTACACTAAGGACACGTCACACAACACAAACACTTACATTGACAAAACATCTTTGAGCTTAAACATTAAAGAGTGTGATTGGTCAGATGTCACACACACGTGTGACGTTAACACATCTACAGACATTCTTTTTGGCAAAATTAAAGATTGTGTGAACAAATCCACAAAACAAAGACCTGTTCTCAAACCGAGGCTGAGGCCTCTCAAACCATGGATCACCCATGACTTAGTACGAAAAATAAGGGATAGGGACAAATTGAGCAAGTTAGTTAGGAGACAACCTTTTAATATGGAATTGATTTCAAAATTTCAAAGAGTAAAAAATGAGTTAAATCAAGATACAAAACTAGCCAAATACAATTACTTCAGAGAAAAACTTTCACATTCAAAAAATAATCCAAATACATTCTGGAGTACTTTAAACGAATTAGCGGGTAGAGGTAATAAAAAGGACATTTTCCCACTTACACAATTTACAGGAAACAGACTGAACGTTGACAATGACTATAGATTACAGGTAGCCGACGAATTTAATGAGTACTTCACCAACGTTGGTCCCAACTTGGCAGAAAATATAGATTCGGGCGGTTTACCTGTGGTCGATGACACTGACCACTCTGTTGACTCCATCCTCACGCTTCACACTGTCACTGAACGGGAACTGTACACTTACATCACTAGACTGCGAGGTGGCTCAGCTCCAGGGTATGATTGTGTATCAGCTGAACTACTCAAAGACAACTGGGAGACACTTAAACAACCACTGCTACATATAACTAACACAAGTATCCAAAATGGTATATTCCCTAATGCCTACAAAATTGCCAAGGTAATTCCCCTCTTCAAGTCTGGTGATTCACCAATATCTCAAATTTTAGGCCAATTTCTTTGCTAAGTGTGTTCACTAAGATTTTAGAAAAAATTATCAAAGATCAAGTTTGTCATTACCTTAATCAGCACGATATTTTGACACCCCGCCAGTTTGGTTTCAGAAAATCAAAAAACATCACAGATGCATTGTTCGAGGTTAATAAAGATATAAATTTGGCCATCAGTAGAGGCAGACGTGTTATTCTGGTATTTTTTGACTTGGCCAAGGCTTTTGATTCAGTTGAGAGATCATTTCTTTAAAAAAAATTAGAACTGATAGGTGTTAAAGGCGTGGCTCTAAAATGGTTCCGATCTTATTTTGATGATAGAAAACAGTTTGTAAATATAAATGGAATCGATAGGAATCTTGGTAATGTAGATTTTGGTGTGGTCCAAGGTCATGTTAGGGCCTTTACAATTCTTGATATACATTAATAATCTTGTGAAATTGGACATTGAAGGTGAATTTTACCTCTTCGCCGATGACACCTTAGTTTTATTCCAAGGCGAAACTTGGGACTCAGCTTTTGCCAATGCCGAAAGAGGTGTATCGAAAATTAAAAAATGGTTTGATCAGAATATTTTAACGCTAAACGTCACCAAAACAAAATTCATTCCAATTTCCTTAAGAGCTCGAAGTGACACACTTCGCAACGAAATCAAAGTTCATTCATGTGGTCGAGAAACCGGAAATAACTGTATTTGTCCAGTAATTAATAGAGTTCAAAATTATAAATATCTTGGAGTTGTATTTGATTCGAAATTGTCATGGACAGATCACGTGTCATATTTAAACAAAAAGTTAAGAAAGTTGATATTTGCTTTTCGTCAACTACACCAATTCCTTGAAAAAGATAAAATTCAAAATGCATATTTTGCTTATGTACAGTCGCTGCTTGAGGGGGGGATAATTGCCTGGGGTTGTGCTTACAGCAATATTCTACAACCTCTCGTTGTAACACAAAAGGCAATCATAAAAGCGGCACTCGGCAGGTGTAGGCAATACCCTTCTGAAACTCTGTTCACTGAAATGAATGTGCTTGATGTAAGACAACTTTTCATCAGAACAGTTTCACTGTTTATTTACAAACACCATGAGACACTCTTTGACCGTCCACAACATGACCATAATACTCGACGTGCACTAGTCCAAGGTATACGCTTACCCAGACTTACAAAGACATTTTCTACCACTAACTGTTATTACGTTGCACACATCATTTATTCTAACCTTCCACTAGACTTACGAGAATACGACAGACACTCAATTTCAACGTACAAAAAACACATTGTTCACTGGCTTAATCTCATTGGTAGGGATGGAGCTAATAGTTTATTAGTTTCTATATACAGACAATAGGTTGACAGCTGATACAGGTGTGCGTGACATTGCTGTGTGTGTGTGTGTGTGTGTGTATGTGGGGGGGAGGGTGGGGGGGGGGGGCGATCGGGTTGGTTAGGGGTGGGGTAGGTCATTATGACACTGATAGTTGTTATCTACATGGTAGATTAAAAGTACATAGTGGGCCTAATCTACTATGTCATGACTCCGCTGGCGCTTTGGAGTCTAGCCCGCACAGTAATTATTAGAAGTACCTGTTTTTTGTTATCAAACCTCAATTCTTTCTAATCAAACATCATACGACTCACTCCACGCACGGGTTATCCCATGTGGGATTAATTTCGTTTATTTTTAGTTATACATTTTAAAACCTATTTCTATTGCATATATTACATTTTGTAAATATTGTCTATTTTATATGAAATAAAGGATTTTGATTTGATTTGATTTGATTTGACCTTGTGTAAACTACAACCCCTTGTAGTTTTCCTACCATATATACTGGCAAACATTTGTTTACTGTCAAAACAACTTCAAATTTTATATCGTTCTCCACAAAACAATCAAAATCTAAATTGAACCCAAATATTTACCTCGATAATTCAAACTTGAGTCAAGTAGAGTATACACCATTTCTGGGATTGATATTGAATCAAAACATTCAAAACCTAAATTGGGATAAGCATGTTGAGCATGTAATTGGTAAAATGTCATAAGGTAGATATGCCTTGTGACAAATGTCAAGGGCGTGTGATATTGATACTTAAAAAACCATATACTTTGCATTAATAAATTCTCACATATCCTTTGGTATAGAATTTATGGAGGAACTGCCAAGAAAATTTTAGACAAAATTCTTCATCAACAAAAAAAAGCACTCCAAATTAAAATTAAAAATAATCAGTGAAACCATTCTTTTCTAAATTAGGTGTTATGACAGTCTATGCCTTGTGCATTTATGAAACTATATTACATGTAAGAAAATTAAACCTCCAAACTAATGGTACAAAAATTGAAAAATTATCTCCTGGTTGGTAGATAAAATAAAAAATGTAGGTTCAGAGTTATTAATTTTTTAATAAAAAAAATCTACGATATATAATAGAACTTTTTCAATATAAATTTACTCTATTTTAAAAGAGATACATGATCTTGTGTCTACATATCCTCCCTTTGTTTTGTTCATTCCCGGGTCTGAGTCTCTTCATTTCCTATCACTCCACTGTTTTTCTTCCTGTAGTGTCTTGAGAGTTAACCAGTTACTTTGGTTTTCAGGAGGACACAACCGGTTATACCGAGAAAGCCCTCCTGTCCCTCATCAAGGCAGCCTAGAGGCAGCTTATCACCAACATTGTCAGCTCATAGAGACAACTTTGTTACAGGATGACACATCAGGCGACTACAAAAGATGTCTGCTTTCGCTTGTCAAATAACCATAGCATGTCTCTTTCGGCGAGTACTATATATATCATAGTTCTGTGAATGTTACCACCATTGTCTTGAGCTACTTGAGTGTTTTGTCAAAGAAGATTGATCTTGTGAAGTATTTACACATCCAGCTAAAGGGAACGGCACTCCTCTGCACTTTTCCACTACTGTCCTGGAAACCCTGACAAAATTAAATATACCAATAAATTATACTCAGTATGTAATTTTAGAATGCTTTCTTTACAAGAGGTTAATTGTTAGGTGTAGGTTTAGTGATGAACTTTCATCATACAGGTTATGGTTTAATTTTATCAGGTTTACCTATTTAAAAAAAGTAGTTAGTTGTATAGTTACTATTGTTTGTAAAGTTGTCTAGCTTCCTTTGCATGAACAAGAATTTGACTGTTTTAAATTCAAGTAGATTTTTATAATGACCTAAGATCAGCCCAGAATGCATGATTGCATGTAATAATGTCATATTTCAAATTAACTGTCTATAAAGTATGGACAGTAAAATATGTTTTTATGCATGATTTGTCTCCTATCTGTAGAGTTAACGTTTCATTATTTTTTTTGATTTATTAATATATTAGCACTTTTACTGCACTTTCACTTTTCTGTATACCTATTATTAGTCAAGGTAAACAGTAAAATTCAATAAAATATTTTCAAATCTTGTCGATAAAACTATTCATGTGATTTTATGGTGTTTTAATATTTATTGTTATTGTTTTGTAGAAACATTTTTTACATTGTTTACCATTTATTTTACTGTAAGATATTTTAATCTATCAATCAGAACATCACTATTTCTCAAGACTGTCATAAGTTTTACAAATTTGTATACTGTATTGGTATTAATTTATATTTTTATATGTAACTTGCTAACAATCATCAAGATACTTTACTAGTAAATATGTATTTGATAACTAGGTTTCTGCTTTCCTTACTCAGGGAAAAAACTATCTTTTTCAAACAATGAGTTTATCGCACCAATTGGTGAAGAATAATAATTGATATCGATCAAATGTTATACTGTAGTATTTGCAGTAATAGGAATATATGGATACATGGGGGACCTGTGAGAAAATTGCACATTTTAATAAATTCAAAACTTGTTTCTGATGCAAAACGGATAATAGAACACCCTTTTACCTTTCAAAAATAATGTTTGTTTACAGTTATTGAGTAAATAAAAACCACACAGTACAATTGTCCTAAATTAAATTTGTTATGTAGATTATACAATAAATAATTATTTACCTACTTTAATTATGTTGAAATTATCAACCACTAAAAGTAGCCTAGGCTATTTAAAAGCCGTTTTCATTAACTGTGTTGTCTCTTGTTTACTACCTAACTGTAGTTAATTGACGGATCAGTTGTTATTTCTTTGAATTAATTCATATTTTTAAAACCTATACGAAGAAAGATGGTCAGCATTACTGAATCTTTAAAAATGAACTCTATAAATAAATCATAAGCCCTGAGGGAATTTACCTTTATTTGTTGCCTCTGAAGCTGAAGATATCATAAGCTTTAAAATGACACTAAAATCTTAAAAATTATTAAGTAGGACAGGCGAAAAAGGTATGTTATACAATATCCTTTTTGTATTTAGTATATAGATATATAATTTCATTTTTTTACTACAAAAGCTATTTGAAATATATTTTAAAAACAAAGCAGTAGTAATTTAATTTTGAAAGATTTGTTATTGAAATCGGTTTTGATCAAGAACCTGCATCTGTGAACTGTTTTCATTTAGTCCATTTTTAAAATCCAAAGTAAATGTAGATAAATAGTTTAAGCCCTAAAAAAACTATTTTTATGATTTTATTTTAAGGTTATTATTTATTCATTGTTAGTTCTACTTATTTTCCCGAACAAAGATAAAAGTAAATGATCAACCAATGACTGAGTACCGGTAATTTAAGAAAAATCTGCAATTAACTTGCCATTAGAGAAAATGTCTTGTAAGAACAAATTATATCAGGATGGGCGTATAGTTGTAGCACTTATACAAACCTATAAGTGTTGGGTGCTATATTCAACAAATTTAGATTACATTAAATCTGTTTTTTTATCCTCTTATGTGACAGATTTTGTTTTCCTTCTTATATAAATGTTTTTATCTAAAAAAAAAATAATTGTGATTTGATATGCATTTAGTTTTTTTTTATTATTTTTATATCACTCCTTTTAAATTTATACATAATTTTCTCTCATAAAATGCTTGATGTTGGACTATAAAAAGCTGTTTTATGGTCAACGCATTTTTAGTGCCTTTTGAATATAATGTCGTCAATTAACAATATGAAAGGTTTTGCACGATTTTAAGATGTCTTACTGAAGTAATTGTATTGGCACGCATGTTAAGACTGATGTGGCTTCCATGTTAAACATTTCATATACCTGTTGTTGCCAAAATATTTATCCAACTTTATCCTTCTTATATCATATTTACTCGTTATCAATAACAAATTAAGATTATGACTTTGTAACATTGTCAGTATTTACATATTTTATGATAAAGATCTTTAACATGTCTAGATAGTTAGAATTGGATAATCTGTTGTTGTTATATTATAATATATTGTTGTAGTGGAATAAATTGGTTGATGTAATACCAGACTATTTTAAATTTTTTCCTGAAGTTTTGTCTGTTTAAAAATTTATTGAAAATGTAAATGAGGCAAGTTTTACCCAATATTATGCATTACATAAGTAAGCAAGTAAGCCATTCACTTAAAGCTCCCTTCATAGATGGTAATCTTGCACAGTTGTGATTATTTCCTCTTGAAAGTTTGAATGAGTTTATCCTTGCCTGTCTAGCTGTGATTTTAAAGTGCATAATTGCAAAGGATAAATACTGGTATTTTATCCATGGACTAATCGTATCCATGGACTTAGTGTAGTTCATGGACTTTTCCTAGGCTAGTGTTTTGACTACAATACGTTTCGTAAGGAGTTTACTTAGGTACCTCTCAAAACGTAGTCCAAGTCCAGGCAAAACACTGAGCGTTGAAAAAATGCTAGCTATCAGACAAATAGAAGGTTCAAAATTTGCATCTATATTTGCTGCTTAACTCTCCAAACCTCAAAGGCTGATTTGTAGGCAATCATAAAAACCTTCAATTGCCGTTCAAGTGGGTTACCTCGGCAGCCTGAATTTCAATTCAAGATGGCGGTTTAAATGGATTGAAATATAGTTCGGGATTGAACATGCCTCTATTATTGTACAAGCTCTCAACATTTTTGTTTCCAATGATTTTGTGTGCTTTTTGTGGTCTTAACATAATATCAGAGCTTGCAATGGATGGAGAAAATTAATTTTCACTAATTCATGCATTTTCAAACTAATTTTGTAAATACTTAAAGAAACAATTAAGAAGTTTCTGTTAATCCAGTGCTTAGTTTGGATCTTTATGAATATTTTACAGTTTATTTTAACTTGATAAACACTTTAATAATGCCACGAGGTTTTTTTTTTTTGTAGCACCATGTTTACCTGGTGTAACCAACCGGCGGGTGGAACCCTCTTAAAACTCAACAAAAACAACTGTAACTTTAATACTTTTCATTGAAACGGCGACCATACAAAGTAGTTATTTGAAGCCAAATATGAATGGAGTTGAGTGTAGGATGAGTAGCGCTATCTTGTAGTCTTGTTAGTGACTAAGGCCAACACATTCCTTAGACACAACTGTTGATTAATAGCCCATACAGCTAATGGCAACTTAAGGCCCGTTGTCCAAGAACGCGTCTGTTGCGTCTGACGCTGAGTAATAGACGCTAGCGATGGACGCTCAGTGACTGCTAAGCATTGATTTCAATGGGCCCGTTGTCCAAGGGAGCGTCTCTAGCGTCTGACGCTTGAGACGCTGAGCGTCTGACGCGGGGCATTGCTCCGGGAGCAGACGGGATCGCTGACGGCCAGCGTCTATGGCGTCTATTGCATTGTTGTTTCTGTATTCTCCCGTATAATCCATAATATACAGTACCTTAATGTAATGGCTATAGTCAAAGAAATATAGGATATGACATAAAAAAATTGCAAGAAAATGTTTTAGGGTTTTATTTTGTAGTGTTGGGTCTGCTGAGTGACATACTAAAGGTTGCCAAAAATCGGTCCCTGAGAAACCCCCTAAAAGGGTGGCGAGAGGTAAGCGTAAGCCCCTCAGGGGGGATGTGGGCCCTTGTGGCACCCTTCCCTCAAGACCGCTGTGAGTCAGTTAATCTGTACTGTGTCCTTTAGTCACAGCCTACATGGGGTGCCACTGTTATCACTAAAGGCAGCGGATCTATGGTGGCAGAGTGAATGTCTGCCCTAGGGTCGGGGAGCAGCGACACTAGTATGACCTGAGGCCGAGGTGATGGACACCGGTCCGGGCTCAGTGTCAATTGAGCAGCAGGCGGAGTGAATGGATCACGGTAAGGCTGCTGCACTGCCCTCCAGTTCTGGTATGTGTGCAGCGGTGCTGGAGTAAGTATTGATGAGCGGAGTGTATGGAACACGGTACGGTCTTCAAACTGCTAACCTGGTATTGTTTCAGAAGCTATGATGTCTGCTAATCAAACTACGGAAAATACCCCAGGTGGGTCAGCGCCTAGGCGTGAATCCCACCCCTCCATCTTGGAGGGCTTGCCCATGGATTCTGGGGAGGGCAAATTATCAGGCACTGTTTCAGAGACGAACATGGAGGGGGGCAAAGAGGCTTTTGCCAGGAGCTCCCTCACTGCTAGATCTCCACAAAACCTTAGTATCGACGACGTTCAAATGCTTGAGGAAGCACACAGGGCTTTGGCGGGTAGTGTGGCTGACTCAAGCGCCCATTCAAATCTAACCCTGGGCTCTACCTCTGAGGTGGCAACACCGGATCTGTGCGTAGAGACCCAGGCATGTGCAACTGTTCCAGAACAGGAGAGAAGACAACGGCCATCTTTACCCCCTAGTGTGTGGAGGACACAGGTCAGGGCAAGGAAGGAGGCTGAGGGTACTTGGCTTTCAAAAGCTGAGTACAAAAAATCCAAAGGGTTTGTCAACAAGCCCAAGAGGAAAAGGCAGGCTGAAACTCCCAGTCCTGCTGGAGGAGAGGGCTCTGGTATTTCTCCTATGCGCAGAGTTTCAGGTCCACCGCAGCAGCATCAGACTCAGCAGACTCCAAAGCGGCCGAGAAGGTGGGATGTCCCACCCCCGCCGCCAAGGAGCGCTGCAGATGGCGATGCCAGCAAGGACTTGACCTTCAAGGACCAACTCTCGGGCTGGAAGATGGCGATTGTTCCGGAGAATTATCCTGACGATAGGTTCACTGATGAACAATTTTGCCTGTTACAGGAGAAACTGTTTGAGATGGTTATTATGGCCGCCACTCCTCAGCAGATCCTGAAAACCTACAAGGACAAAGGTGCCCTCGCAGTCTTGTGCGGAAACGAGGAGACCAGAGATTGGCTCAAGGAGGTGGCTGTTGGTCTGGGTCCAGTGGGCGTGGGGGGGCCGAGTGTGATTGTGGGGGATCATAAAGATCTCCTGCGTACAACCAAGGTCCTTCTCCATACCGACTGGATCCTGGCCAGGAAAGATCCTAAAGAAATCTTTGAGTTTGTCCAGAAGCTGAATCCTGGACTGTCAACCAGAGACTGGAGAGTGGTCAGTTGCAAGCGAGAGGCGGAACACCAAACTCTGGTTCTGGCAATTGACTGCGGGAGTGCCAAGTTCCTGAGGGACAGGGGCTGGAGGATTTTCTTGGGTATAACAAGGGTTCAACTCAAGGTTCTTTCAGGTGTTCCTGATGACGATGCGAATACTGCAGGCGAACCTACAGCACAGTAAAGCTGCCACTGCGGTACTCTGTGCGAGTACTGCGGGTGGGGCTTTTGACTTTGCCCTTATCCAGGAACCCTGGGTTAGAGACGGCAATATAACGGGAATGGGGGTCTCTAGGGGCCAGGTATTCTCGGCTCAGGTCCGGAATCCTAGAACCTGCATTTGGACTAGCAATGACACCATTTGTGTGCCGGTTCTGGAATTTTGTTCCAGAGACATAACGACGGTAGAGACCAAATGCAGGGAGTCCGGACGGCGTCTACTACTTGCTTCAGTATACATGCCGCAAGATGAGCCCACGCAGCCTCCGCAAGAGGAAGTTAGGAAGCTGGTCGAGCACTCGGCCAGGACCGGCGACGACCTCGTGCTGGGCTGTGACTCCAACTCCCACAACACTGCTTGGGGTTGTAGGGATAATAACGCAAGAGGTAAGGCACTTCTTGAATACTTAGCCTCTAATGGTCTAATGATTGCTAATGTCGGTTCAGAACCAACTTTTCATAGCAGGGTTGGGGAATCTGTAATAGATCTTACTATAACCAACGTGGGGATCAGTAACAGAATTCTGGATTGGAGGGTATCCCAGGAACCTTCCCTCTCTGACCACAGACATATCTTGTTCAACATTGGTAACTTTTCCTTGGAAAAGACTGAGTTCAGGAATCCCAGAAAGGCAGATTGGGATATGTACAGATCAACTCTTAAAGAGCGCATTGAATGCTTTGACACACAGTTCCCTTGGGTCAGAGACACCAACACGCTAGACCTTGCCTCTGGGAGCTTAGGCGAGGCCATTGTCACGTCCTTTGACGAGAGCTGCCCGCTAACGGTGAGGAAGCAGGGTAAAGTGAGTTGGTGGACCACAGAGCTTACCAGCCTGAAAAAGAGAGTCAGGTCTCAGTTCAGGTGGGCGAAGAGAACAAATAATTGGGATGGCTATCATAGATTGCTAACCCAATATAACATGGCTGTAAGGAGGGCCAAAAGGCTCTCCTGGAAACATTTCTGTAGCAAGCTAGAAAGTGTTAGAGATACATCTAGGATATACACTGTCCTAACAAAGGACAACTCCTCCAAGCTAGGCCCCCTCAAGGAGCCTGGGGGAGATATGCTGTATGAACCTAAGGAAGTGCTAAAGCTCATGGCGGCCACCCACTTCCCTGGCTGCATCATCCCAAGCGAGCCATTGGTGCCGGAGGATGAGGAACAAGCTGTCGCAAGGGCAAACAACACTCGGTGGAGGGTTGCGTGCCATATTGTGACACACAGTCGTGTGAGATGGGCCATAGGGTCACTCATCCCATACAAATCACCTGGGCCTGACGAGGTAAGACCTGTCTGTCTCCAGCAAGGTATCGATATATTACTTCCGGCAATGAGTAAGTTGTTCAGGGCCAGCTTGGCCCTGGGACACATTCCCCCGGCCTGGAGCATCTCAAGGGTGGTTTTCATCCCAAAACCTGGTAAGGCAAGTTACACGGATCCCAAGTCCTTCCGTCCCATCTCTCTGTCCTCATTCCTGTTGAAGACCCTAGAGAAACTGGTGCTGAGGTATGTGGGGGACACAGTCCTCAGAGTCAATCCCCTACATAGAAACCAGCACGCCTATACCCCAGGAAGATCCTGTGACTCTGCCCTACATCACCTGGTAAGCAGAATCGACAAGGCGTTTGAGTTTAAGGAGATTGCCCTTGGGGCGTTCCTTGACATCCAGGGCGCCTTTGACAACACTGAAACCCAGGCTGTAATCAATGCTGCCAGAGCTCGTGGATTCCATGAGGTGGTGTGCAGGTGGGTAGAGTCTCTA